ATGGCCCACGCCGTCCGGCCAGCCCTGCTGAAGGGCCTGGTCGCGTTCCTGACACCACCCAGGAAGAGAGCGCTTACTTTCTCTGACGAGACCGCCAAAGGTAAAAGAGCTGCCCATGGCCCCCGAGTACACGGCAGGCTGTGTCCTGCCTGGGCGACCGGAGGGTGTTCCTCCCGGGGTCCCTCGCCTCGCTCTGCAGGGCTCAGCCAGCACCCTGACTCGCTGGCAGGGTAAGAGGTGCAGGGGCTGTCCCCTGAGGCGAGGGGCACAGCAGCAAGGGCTGCCCGGGTCAAGGCAGCGCTTACCCACAGCGCTAATGCAGGCGTGCAGGGCTCCAGAGACCCGCTGGCGTCTGCTGGGTGAGGATGATGAACATTTCCAGCCCTGGGTGCTTCCTGCCCAATGCAGCCGAGCAGGCCACAGTGGCTCAGTCTCTCTGAGCTGTGGCTGTGCTGCCGTGGGCATCATGCACACACATTCTATGAACCATAGCCACAGTGTTCCCTGAGGCATTTCCTGAAAAGAGGACATCCTCCTCTCATGCTACCAGACTAATTCCACCTCCCCTCCCTTCTAACATCTTAGAAGCGTTTAAAAGCACTGTTCTCACCTTCCTGATGTTCCTCATGCAGACCCTACCGCACTTTGCCAGAAGGAACCCGTGCTGGTGTATATTCAGCAGGCAGCTGCTGCAAAAGCCATTGGGTAAGAAACTATGGAGCAAAATCCACAGGAACGTAAAAGGGACCTTAGAGAAGTGGTTCCTTTGGGCAGGAAAGGACAGGAACCTGTTCCTCCCAGGGAGCACTCATCCATGTGCCTCTGGCACAGTCTCTGGTGAGTACCCCAGCACTGCCAGGTCTCCAGCATCAGGCTTGTTCATAGGCAGGTTGTGTTCAGGAATGAGGCAGACCCCCTGCTATGGACACGGTACCTGCTTGAAGTTTCATTGGTAGGGAGATGAGGAATCCCATCTGCTCTGGCCCTGCATGCTGTCACAGTGTCCCCTTTTTGGCTGGGCCTAGCGTGTGTCCTGCTATAGTGCAGGACTGTGTTGATCAAGGCCACTGTGCTCTCCACATAGCTGGGAGCAGCAGCAAGCAGTGAAACCCCTTACTTAACATCAGCCACCCCATGGAAAAATCTAGTGCTTGTGATTGACTGCAGAATCCTTGAGGAAGTTCAGCCATTTGTGCTGAATTTCTTTCCTTCAGTGTGAATTTCCTGCAGTGTCCACAAGATAGTGCTATGAGAACACTTTTCCTGCAAAAGCAGCTGACAGAAAGCCCTGGGTGGGTAGGGAGACATACTGGAGTGTCTTCCAGGGACATGGTCACAGAGGTAATGGTGGTGGTGTTTGAGTCCTGAGTTCTTCATGGTCACATTCCAGGAAGCAATTTGTTCTCAGCAAGCCCACATGTTAAATGGTTGCTAATTTGGCACAGCCAAATGTTTATTTGGAGACTCTCCTGTTCATTGGTGCTGCGAGGGCAGGGTAGAAACACATTATTTTCTATTGAGGTTGCACCAACTGTTCACCAAGAGGCCCAGACTCAATTTATTGTGTGCTTCTTCCCCCCATGCCGGGTAGGTGCTGATGGCCCATCTCATTGCAGAGTGTTAGCCAAGGAATCAGCAGAAGTGGCTGAAGAGCTGATCCAGCTGAAAGTGGTGCATGGCCTGATGGTTGCTGTGGGGAACCTGGATCATTTGGCCAGCCAGAGACATGCCAGCATCTCCCTGGAGGTGAGTGTGATGGTACATGGTGGAGAACATCATAGCACAGGGTCTCCTCCCAGAGCACCTGAGCAGAAAGGCTCCCTACACTGTGGGGGTTTTTCTAAGCATAGCAGACAGGCCTATCCCCAGAGGCAGGAGTGATAGTTCCTTCAGGAAAGAGCTGCATTTCTCCTTTTGTCTGCCTCCCTCCTGCCACCCACCACAAACAGGGTGCTGGGCACATGATGTTGGCCCTCACACATATCTGTTCAACCCCCATGTTTGCTGTGGGTAGCAGGCACAGACAGAGCTAAGGGGCTAACCAAGACAATCTGCCTGGAGCGAGACAAAATTCCAAGCAGACTATTTTTTCCTGCTGGTGCAGAGTGGTTTTGGCCTGCCTCAGCACAGCTCTGCCTGTGTTACAGGCGCAGGGAAGGACCATGCTGGCAGCAGATGGGAAAGGCCGAATGAGCGATGGCTGAGAAGCAGGGGAAAGGGTTTACAAACCTACCTAGTAATGCAGAGGGTCAGGGCAGCCTCTCTCTGAGCAGCACCAACAGCAGAGCAGGACCAACTCCCTGGCAACTGCTGAACTGCAATCGTTTCACTGCCACACCTTTCCTCCTCTTGTCTGTGAGGGTGGGAACTGGCACTGAGGGAGGGCAGGGGGGACAAGGTGAGGCTTCAGCAGGGACCCACAAGTTCCTCTTGGTGTGTTCATCAAGCAGCATCAGTAGCACCGGTGCTAAAGGAGGTGGGTCAGGGACTCACTGGCATATGACAAGTTATCTGGAGCCACATCATCCACACAGCTCTACTCTCTACACATACTCTGACATCCCTTCTCACTACGCACCAACTCTGTTCTGTTGCAGTATTTTGTCCTCACGTTTCCCTTTGTGGAAGAGTACGTGAAGAAGGCACTAGGAGACACACTGTTCCAGCACTTTATGGTAAACAGGCCTCCCTTACTGGGTTTGTTAGCGGCCCTAGGACCTTGGTCTGTGTTGCAGGCATGTAGGGACTGGATTTCTTTTCACAAGAAATCTTGTCTTGCCTGGGAACTCAGAAATAAACCAAATGAGCCATTGAGAATTGTTCACCTTAAATCTCAGCATTTAGGAAGATAACCTCTCTGACTCAGCCCAGGACAAAGCCAGGAGGGATCTCACACTCCTGCTACATCTGTGACAGTGGGAACTTGGTGTCAGAAGTGTGAGCTGAAGGGGCAGTGAGGCAAGAGGGCACTTGAGCTCCTCCAAATCACATCCCTCCTGACTCTAGCTCCTAGGATGGACCTACAGATTAGGAAGCAACATTAGGTCCAGGGAGGGAAGGTGGAACAACCAAGGGGCAACATTTTATTCCTTGCCCCCAGGCCTATCCTTACTCACCCCAAGACACCACTGGGCAAGGCTGGATAATCCAAGTGTAGTAACACCTGAAGTGGAACAGGGCTGCCTTGCTTTAATCCAAACTCAGTAAGGCATAACAGCCCTTTCCCCCTGGATGTGCCATCTTAATATGATGTAAGCAAAGCTCAGGTACAAGTCAGCTCTGACAGTTCAGAGGCCCTTAGAACACTCCGCCCCACGCTGCTCCCAGTACCTACACTGTTGACCCCAAAGTGCCCCAGCTGTGGGGGAGGATCATGCCTGGGTTGAAGTATCACTTTTCTAGCTGCTTGCCCAAGTCCCATTGAGATCCTAACTCTTGCTGTGTTTTCCAGGACAGTCCTGAGACCTGGTACACAAAAATAGATCCATTCCAGGCTGATGAACTGGCCTCCAAGATAGTAGACATCCCCAGAGACATGGCAAAGATGCAGTGCACAGAAGGTGAGTACAGAGCCGGGGGTACAGTCAGTTAAATCACACCCTTTACTTTCAGGGACAGAAGGCAGCTCAGGAACCAGGAGATCAGGGTGGCAGGCTAGGGGAACAGGGAGGAAAAAAAAAGTAAACAGTAGAAGGATCCCTTTGTAATCTGGTTTTTGTATAGCTGCATCCTGTGTTGCTGGACCTGGAGCTCACAGGGCTGTTTTTTCCTTTCAGACACAAACCCTGAAGTGAGCTGAACAAACAGGAAACAGAGGGCAGCAGCCCATGGCTCCCATCTGTCCTCTCCCACCCTGCCCCTTCCCAGAAGACAGGTTGTGTGGGGCCACCTGGACCCAGGCTGCACACAGGGGCCATGGCAGTACCTTGCTGCACCTGAGCCAGTGGCCAACTTTGCACTTATGCCCTCAAATACAGAATTGGGTGGGCTGCTGAATGTGTGGATTTTATGTGGCATGTTAACCATTTCCCATATGGGGCTGGGGGAAATACATGTGGAGATGTGAAGTATCGTTCTGGGGCTCCCTTCAAAGCCTGAATAAACTCCAGTGGTACAAGGGAGGCAGAGCCCTTCCCACTTACCTGCTGTCATAAGAGCTGAGCCACTCACTACATGCTGAGCTTTGCTCAGGTGCAGGAGATAGGTACCCTCTAAACCAGCTTCCTCCTTGCTCAGCAAGTTCTACCCAGCAGTATCTCAAAATTAAGAGACAACATGTATTTTGAGTGATTTTTATGTAAACATTACAAGTGTAAAGACTTTAAAAAGAAACCTCATCCAAGAAATCAGCCTCTCTCTACAACACCAGCCAGTCTTTAGGGTCTGATAGTCTTTACCAAAATCATCAAGAAATATATTTTATAAGGTAGAAGATAATTAAATCCAGGAATATTTATTTATCAAACTTTTTAAAATACCAATTTTTTACAATTACATATAGTCTATTTTCTTTCTAGAAAAGCCAAACTTGCAACAGTTTTGCAACGTTTCAGGCACATCTGGAAAAGTTATATGTACACTAGAAAATATACACGTGTATCTAGTTCTATTAGAGATCAGCATTGTCACTAGCAACGCCAGATGTTAGACACATCTAGCAGACTCTCAGGCCTCCCTCCCCAAGCCTTGCAGGGGGTGTTTCTAGCACTCTGCTAAGTACCCTGATACCAGGCCATGAGGAGAGAGAGGCTGCCATGTTCACTGCCCTCAGGCATGTGTGACCCGCAAACACTCTACCACATTTAAAACAGGAGTTACACAAACAACCAACAAACATGCAAGACAGAAGACTGCTTGTGAACCAGGTTTTGCTGTATTTACTAAGGCCTCTGCCAGCTCATCTGCTTGCTGGCTTGCTCCTCCAGTTGCATGGCAGCCCCCAGGTTATCCAGCGTTTCTGTAAAGGAAGACAGTGACAGGGTGACAGACCTGGAAGCTGAACTCCCCAGCCCAGCTGTCCCCCTCAGCAGGGCCCTGCAAGGACCACAGAGGGAAGCAAACAGGGCAAGAACTGCTCAGCCAACATCAAATCCTGCCTGGTCCCACAAAGCTCTTCAGCTGTACTTGTTCATTTCTACTCATCAGCAGTTATAAGCCTGCAGTTTGCAGTTCAAACTAGATGGTACTAATCCAGCCATCCCAGAGGCCAGATTTCCCTGACCTATAAGGCAGAGAGGGTAGCAGGGCATTTACTCTTGTTATCACCACCTTTCTGTGTGAATGGAGGGATACGACTCTCAGGCTGCATTTGAGATGGGTGAACAGCAGGGCTGTTTAAGAAAAAAGTCACTACTACTTCAGGCTAACAGTTCACTTTGATGCCACAACTTTCAGACATTAAAATAAAAAACCCTCGCAGCCCTGTTTTTGCAGCAAAGATTATGCCAGCTGTAATGGCTCAAGTGGCATCAAAGCCCAAGTTATTGCAACAGTGACAGAAGAGCAGCAGTTACCAGGGTAGCTTCCCCTGTCCTAGTCAGCAGTCCATGTCCCTGGCACTCTCTTACTGTGTGTCAGCCAAGCTCATACATCAGCCTCACTGCCTCTCTACCACTGCTTCAACCAGCGTGGTCCAAACATGAAGGCAGCGCTCAGGGAACAGCCAGCTGACATCTGCCTGCACAGAGCTGGGAAGTGTCCAAACTGGGTCAGAACTAAACAGTTGGAGCGATTTTGTTGCACATTAATTAATGCCCAAAGGCGTGCCAAATGCAGGTGCTGGCAGACATGGCATCTCAGAATATGCCTGTCAGATGATTCTTACAAGTGGATGGGTGATATCCATGAAAACAGGAGTGAAAACAGCAGGCAGACCCCTGTGAGTCACTACAACATGGCACTGGGACTTATTTCTCAAAATCTGTTTTTTGGCCAAGGCAAAAGGTAAACTATACAACCAAGCAGCCAAAGAGACTTCAGCTCGCCTGCTCTTGGTGGATACTGCATTCTGCTCCAGGGAAGGCAGTTTTTTATGGCAGTGCAAAGCAAGTAGAAGTCATGAGCCAGAACATACAGACAATAGGACATTTCAGATCTGTCCTGTGATCACCCAGGAAAGTAATCCAAACCATAAGCTATGCCGAAGGACTGGGTGCTCAAACCCACACAGGTATGCTGTTGTTACTTTCAGGTCTTTGAAAAAAGATGAGTGACAGTGCTAGTCAGAGACAGGCACTAACATACCTCTGACACTAAGGCAGTTTCTGGAGCTTTCCTCTACGAAGTGCTTAGCTCTGCTCACAAAGGTCTCGAGATCATAGTCTGGTTGCTCCGTGATTCCCAAGAGGCAGTCAAGTTCAGTTGTCATTCTCTATATTTACAAGGATAACAGTGATGAGAAATTGACTTTCTGGAAGTTCAATTCATTTCTTCAAATGTGGCACACGAACCAACAGAGCTGAGCTCCTACAGACCAGTACCAGTTAGTGCTCATTAGCAGCAAGTAGAGGTTGCTAGTTGGGTTGGAGGGGAAGGGGGACTGGCTGGCTGAAATGACCCAGTTTAACTAGTTGGGCAGGAAATCACAGGAAAAGGCAATGAGGAAAAAGTAACACCACAGTACAGCATCTTGCATGATAGCCCACAGCCTCCCCAGCAGCACTTGGCTCAAACAAGTCAAGTTGCTATCAACATGTACAAGGCAGCCTGGGCTGGGCTCGCCTCTTCCACATACCTGTCTCAGTTCTCTAAGCTGTTCTACAGCCTTCTCCTCCCATTCACTGATTTGAGTAATAGCTTCACGAAAGTTGAACATTTGGGGAGAGATATCTTCCTCCTCATCCTTGGAGAACTGCAAGAAACAGCCCAGGTAAGAACAGCAAGTTGTTCCCAGATTTGAGCTCTGTTTAGCCCACTGCACACACATACATTGTGTTGAAGACCTGAGCCTTCTCCACTGGTCTCTGTTTCCTCATTCTCAGTCTCCATCTGATTCTGTGTTTCACCACCTCCATTATGAGGGCTGAGCTCTTTCACTCTGCAACAAGAAGATTTATCACTCAAACTCTTCTTCCAGCAGTTTCTGGGCTACAGCATCACAAAGCAGCTACTGCAATCAGTCAGTGCTCAGCAAGAAACATTTGGCTGCAATTAAAAAGTTGCACATTACCACCCCAGAACAAGCTTACATGGGCAGAAACCCCAGAGAGCTGTGGGAAGGAAAGCTGAGGTGTTTGTCTCCATGCCCAATCTAGGACCTCTCCTGAAAAGAGAGGTCCAAGTACACAATGCTGACTGCCAGCAATGCCTTTCACAGAAGCTGTCTTCCACATGGCAGCTCAGTTTGCCACAATCAACTAAAATAACTTGGTATGGAAAGAAAAGGAATAAGGTTGATTTTTCCCAGAGACCCACTGCCAGAGTAGGTCTATAATAAGCATAAAAGCCATGGCTGATGACAGGTACTAGAGGTAGATATCAGGCACCAATTGGGCATTTCATTCCAGTTACTAGTGTCAGCTTCATATTTCCAGTGAGTTTCAGCCTAATAGCCCCTTTCTTCTAGCTTGAACTTGCCTTGTGCACTAGCTAAGAACCCACTGGGCCAAACTCAAGACTGGAATCTTACTGAAGCATGCTAAGTCAGATGTTGCACTTTATCCTGTATTTTCAGGTGACCAGGAATGACCATCCACAAGAAGGAAAAAATGCAACTTCAGTCCAGAACCAAATCTGTGAATCTGTCAGGATTCAGTGTTCCTGAATGCTTTTGACAAGAACTACCATATATCCTTTCAGAGTGTGGAATGCTTTCCAGAAAGGAACCAAGCAGCCTTTTGTGAACTAAATGAAGGGAAGCTACCAAGCCTGAAATGTGCAAGTGTCATCTTGTTAACATATGACAAAAGTGACAGTCATCTTTTTACTTGTCACCTCAACAGAGAGGTGTAGAAGCTTGTAAAGCAGAGACCAGGAGGCACTCACTGCTCTCTCACAGGGGTTCCAGGTATCGGCAAGATCCCTGGGGCTCAGGCCCTGTAAATCTACCTTGCCTTGCAGGTACCCAAGGTCAACCACGGGGCACTCAAAACACACTCCCACCACCTGCTTAGAGGCATTTGAGTTCTCCAGGTCCTTCAGATTTTGCCCAAAGTCTCCAAGGTGCCATACCCTATGAGTTCACATCAAAGTCATGAAGAACACCAAGTGTTTTGTCATCTGTAGGGCCATGTCAGGGACACACTCTTAGCATACCACTTACAGAAGAGGACCCAAAAAGTAAGAGCATGGAGGTAACCATTCAGGACAGGGTAAACTCCCTACAAAAACAGGGCATCCTGAAGTCTAGCATGACAGAGTTCTCCTCTGAAGAAAGGAGAGATTAGTCATAGTTTTAGACAATATTATGTCTCACACAGAGAACACCCAGGTTAGTTCCATAAAGCAGCTCTGAGATAATTTGCTCCTAACAAGCAACCTTCGAATTGCCATTACAGGCAATGACAACAAGAGAACTTTTGGTCAGAATAGAAGCAGCCAAAACACCTTCTGCAACATGAGTAGAATTCCCAGGTCAGAAAGGCCATTACCTGTCAGCGTATCTCAGCGTGTTTAAGGTGTACTCACACGAACTCATGCCTGGAGAAATCATTGCTATCTGCAAACAGAACAGAAGGCCTCAGTGACTCCCACATCTGCTCACATTAATGGTCCTACAGATCTCACCAGACAGATGGGACATGTCAGGGCAAAAGGTCAGAGTTGAGACATTGTCATGTCTATTTTTCTTTATGGCTTCTGTGGGACATACCAGTGGCCCTGTATCCAGCTTTCCTCTGGCTTTATGCACACCTACTGTGCTGCACCCTCCGTGGGAAGCAAAGCCCTTTGAGAGCACACTAGGCTCTACTGTAGATTCACTGTATGAAAGTGACTTCTGCAGTCCTGCTTCTACTGGGGCTGGGCAAAGCTCACCAGTTTTTGATCTCAGTCACCATGGGTGAGTAGTGGATGAAAACTGTTTGACTTTTTTTGCAGAGAATTGAAACTTTCTGACTTCAAAGACCACACACTCTAGAAGAACATGCAGCTATTAGGTCAAATTGCCCATAAGCAGTGTATGTGTGTTTGTGCCATGTGCGTACTCACCATACAGGTCCTTGAGTTTGTTCCTATGAAAGAGTCTCTTAGCACCTGGGTCAGCTTGCTCTCCCGGAAAGGGGTATGGGATTTGTTCTGCCCTAAAGCTCGGATACATTCCTAAGAAAAGACAAGTCTTGTGAATGCAAGATCTGCATCTCTTCTCAAACAGCTCTGCAAGCTATCAACCACCAATTGCTGGTAAACCCAACAGGCTGGAGAATGGTCATCTCTTTTGCTCCATATGTACTTCATAGCCTTTTAAACATACTGCAGGTATTTGACTGTCACAGGACAGCTGGTATATCCATCATATGTATTAAAAAAGACAACTTGAATGAAGCTTGAAATGGCTGTACCAATGTCTGGCCTGACAAGACTGCACTGCTTTCCTGGAAACATTCTAAATGGAAGTATACACCATTTTCGGGGTTGTTAGCATACTAAACTAGGATCTTTTTGGCTGTTCTTTTCCCTTGTACTAGAAGGAAGCAGAACAGATAACCCCAGAGTTGAACAGAATCCATGTGTTGATTAGCACTATTTGCTCTCTGAGATATAGCTCACCTTCAAAGCCAGCAAGCTCTTATTGATTTCTGCACCTTCCATTCGTGTCTGCCGATCAGCACTAGCTGTGTCTGCACCCCTCTCATTTCCTGCCAGATCCACCAAGGAAAACTTGCCAAGCAGTTTCCCTCTTCGGCGCAGTATGATTTGGAAGCAGGCGTGTGACCGTGAAGAGCTCGCATTTGCAAACGTCTGCCCAGATGTCCTACAGCAAAGATGCAAACAAGCATTAGAACTGTGTCACAGAAGGTGCAACAGGTCCCAACAGCACTAGACAAGACTTGCAGCCATTAAGTTGTTTAACCTCCCCAGTTTTATCCTACATATTAATATCTCCAGTTTGAATGAATTACCTCTGATAAAGAGCACAGGACTATTGTAAGAAATATGAACCTGCATCCCAATTGTAGAGATTCAACTCGGCCAGCCTACACTGGAATGCCTTTCTGACTGCTAATTACATGCATTTGGAGCTGGATGACAGACCTTCAGCACTGCATCTCCCTGCCTCAGACCAGGCCACATGTCATTCTCCTCACGTGTCTGCCATTACACAGTAAGCTCAGCTAATCTTCCCACTAACAGCATTAGCTATACTAGCACATTACAATCACGTTAAATCCCCTTCTCCAGCCAAGCTGGCTTGGCCTTTACCTCTGCTGTGCAGCTGCACCTGCCTCATCACTGCAAGACACAGACTGGAGTCTTATAAGTTACCGTAAACCTCCCTGTGACTTCCACTGCCATTCCCTTGGAAGGCTGGCAGGTTCACTGTCCCACCTGCACCCTTACTGCTGGGGGAAAGGGAGGGAGGTTGTCCTAAAGTGAGGCAGGAGTCTGAAATGTTAAACAGTTCTTGGCTGAATTGTCAGACAAAAAAGCATGTGCAGCAGAGTCCTGAATGAGCTTTCAGGATGTGCATGTCTGCATATGCAGTGTAATACAGAATCAAGGAGTTCTCATTTGCCTACTGATGTTTCCACAGCAGTTGCCACTTAACTGAGATAGATAAGCCTTGGTAATGCAGATTTTAGCTCCTGATTAGAGACACCCATCACTGGTAGAGTTGCCCCAATTGCAGCCTTTCTGCCAGGATGATGAGCCAAGCCTACAGCTGTCCCTTGGCACCTGCTCCCAAGGATTCTTTAGACAAGATCCCTGAACAACATGCAACATTTTTGTTGCCATTGGAATAGTTCATCTGGCCTGCAGTTAAGTCAAAGCATTTTTTCAACTGTAGGTTGATGCCAGTTGCTCTTCCTTGATCTTACAAGCCCACAGGGAGCTCCTTGTGCTCCTGTAAACTAGTTGATACTTCTGGAAAGCTGCTAGACTGCTCAGTTTAGCTGTGGCACCAGGGCAGCCATCTCATGTGAATAGTTTCTCTCTTTTTGAAGTTACATGAGGACACGTGAACCATTAACCCTGACCTTCTCTATGGAAGGCAGGCTAAACCCATCCCTGCTACCCCTTTATTCTGTAACCACCTTCTTGTTTCCATGCAGAGGTTCTGCTCAGTGCCTGCCTATTACTGGGAACAACAAGCTCCTGTTTAAGTCTCAAAGTACCAGCTACAGACATTGTATTTTTTTTGTAGACATGGAGGTACAAGAGGAGATGACTCTTATTGGTTTTAAGGCACCAAACCTGCAGGCACTGCCCATCTCAATCATTCTGATGACATCCTCAGCACAGCCAACTTGTTTCTCTAGGAGACCAATGACCTGGACCTGCTGCTTGCCATCCTCCAGGACTCGAAGCTTTGCCTTCTTATTCAAGAGGTCAAACACCTATATTCAGGCAACAAGATTGAGGCAAATCTGTACAAAGTTCCCTTATAAGTATTTTACACTGTCTTTATACAAAGCTATATAGAAACAGCACTTTTAACATAGCCTTCCAATTAAATTCCCAACACATCATGAACAATAGATTATATAGAACTACACAAACTAGTAAGTTTCACTCAGCTACTTATGAAACATTCAACCAAAGAAGACAGGTCAAGATTTAAAAAACAAGTCATAAAACAAAAACAAAGAGTCTCACCTTTCCATTGTATATTTCAAAAAAAGTCACATAGACTTCCAGGTGCTCATTCCTGTACCTGGGCTGGTTTAGGAGGAGGAAGACATCTTGTGCTGGTGAGGAAAGGCAGGAGTTTAGTTAACTAGTTTAAAACACATTCTAGTTGCTACTTAATATACTTTCAAATACTGCACAGCCATAAGGCAGCGTCTAGCAGCTGAATGATGGTCATCCTAAACAAATGCTGGTGGAACAGTTAGTGCTGTGCTACCATCTGGAGAACAGTTTCAGCAGCATCCTCATCTGGGGACTGAAAACCACTGGGGGACTTGGAAATTTCTACTGCTCATGTCACTCACAGACAGCAGTTCTTACTGATCTGGGGGAACACTGGGATCTGCTATTGTTTTAGACAGGCCTGAAAAAGTCATGTATTTGTTTCAAGCACTTCTTGTGGAAAGCCTAGAAAATGTGCACCCCTGAGCATCTGCATTGCTGCTGTTTGGAGATAATATAACAGAGTAGTTGACCCTTTGTCTGGATCCAGTGCCTCTTCTCACAATCAGGCTTCAGACTTTGAAGCTGAGCTGCAAAGCAAAGACTTTCCTTCAGGGCCAGTCAGAACTGTTTTTCAGAGCAAACAGTTGCTCTCGTTTCAACTGCCTTGCTACAGAGTTTCACAGTATGCCTTTCTAAAGGGAAGGCAGTGGGTGTCAGGGTTCATGGTGCTTTCTAGGCATTATATCAAGGAGGGGTTTCTAAGCATCTCTTCTGAAATCATTTTGTGTATTTTTTTGCATCTAATGCTTACAAGAAGAAACATAACATATACATTCATATGCTTTCTGCATAACAAGCTTTATATCAGAAATGGGTAGGGCTGTCTTGCATTCAAGTCAGGTATTTCCAAACACCACCCTTAGTCTGAGACAAAAGCAGAGCAGAAGAATCAAAATGAAATGGTTCAGCCCAGCAAATGCCAAACTAGAAAATATGTAATCTCTTTGCCTTAAAACCAAGTATATTCAGGTGAGTTAAGTGCAGATCTAGAAACTTACAGGCTGGAAAGTATTTTGTGTAACTGATTAAAAAATAATCATACCTCCTGCAACAAACACCACTACTTATTCCTGAAAACACAAATACTTTATGTATCTTTCATTTGAAAGATTTTAAATAACCATACAAAACCAGATCTTATCTATTTAAGAAAAACAAACACTAATTTGATTTCATATCTAAAGAAGAATCAACTTACATGCAAAAGCATATATGCCCTTTGAGGCATTCTGTGCTCTGCCAGAGAAGTCTCCACCCATAGTCTGTGAAGAAAAAAGGCCAGAGGTAAGGTGTGGTACAGGCAAGTCAGGCTACCTGATTTTAGTCCCAGGAAAATACAAGTTACCACTTATATCTGCTCCGATGTCAGCAAGATGATTAGAACACAGTGCAATTCAGGATAAAATTAGTTTTCTGCTTCCCTATCAGTTCAGAAGGAAGATCAGGACTATGCAAAGCAACAGCTGAATGCCTGTGAGGCTCTGCAGTGCAGAACCAAAACAGTTGTTCCTCCAAGAGGAAATGCATGGCCTTGACAGTGCAACCAAATAGCTTCTGGGCAGAAGAAACAGCCTCATTTTTTAGGACATTGGTTGAGTAACATTTTCACTGCCACTTGCAAAAGCTCACGTGTGTGATTATCAAAACACATCAAACTTCTAGAGCAGACAATACCTTTAACTCCTTTGACCAAGATACCTTTAAATCCAAAAAAATTCAGTTGCTGCTATCCTGGTGACCTGCTCAACATTTTTTATATAAAACAGTCCATCATTTAAAACACAGTTCAGTCCCATGACACATTCTCAGTCTACCAGAGTTTATATGCAGCACTCAAACTGGCAGGCTAGCCTAGGCCAGTCCAGATCATTGTGGTTTGAGGTAAAAGCTTCTTGCAGAACAGCAAACCAGCAGATTTTACTCCACGATCATGCTGTGAGGGAAGATTTTTCCCCACTTCCCTTCCCTATAGTTTCCAGAAGAAAAAGTTTAAAAGACAACTCAGTTGTTGAAAATTTAGAGCAGATCAGGTTTGAAGCAGAAAACACAACCTTCAGGTCTCTTGAACCTGCAACTGGTAAACTGGAAGGAGGGGTTAGAAAGTGAAGATGCTAATTTGCCCACTTCACAAACAATACCAGATCACTTCAATGTTGAAGTGCAACAAGAGACTTATTCTTATATGGTAGCTAAAGTCTTTGGAATCCCTCCAAGCCCAAAACACAGACAATAGTCTTTGTCTTAGATGTAGGCTAATAGCCCCACTTGGCAGACTGGAATTAGGTAGCAACAGCCATCTGAGGCAAGGAATAGCCACCACTAACATGTCAGGACATCATGAGTCTTTAAAAAGCCAGCTATGGGGGGAGTTTAGTACAGTTTTCCTCACAAACTCAAAGGAAACCCACTAATGTGTAAAACTACAGAAAAAAGAGGATTAACAACAGACAAAGTTTTAGCTTTAAGACAATAAACCCAAGATCCAAACTCCTTAAACAATCCTACTCATTATCAATATCGAGGAGCTTTAAAATACTTTATCTAAAGCAAGAAAATTTGAGACCTTGGCAAAAAACTTACGTGTGTCTTGCCACTGCCTGTCTGACCATATGCAAAGCATGTTGCCTTCCCACCCTCAAAGATGGTCTCCACAAGAGGTCTAGCAGTGAACCTGGATATTCAGAAGGTTAAAAAAAACAGTTAAGGCAAGCATCAGTTTTCCTGGAAAAAAGCCCCCAAACAAAAAACAAACAACCACCCAAACAAAAAAACATCCACACAAACAAACAGCAACAAAACAAACAAAAAAACCCCAAATAAAAGCAAATCCTTAGGAAATCAGCAAGACCATACCAAAACTGAGCTTTAGACTTTCCAGCCATAGCTCTGTGCTTTTATCCTAGAAGTCATTCCCAATGAGTAGAAAGCATTACCTGTATACCATTTCATTAGAAGAGGATTCATCAAATGAAAAGTCAAATCTAAATGCTTGGGTTTCAAGGTATTTTGTTAGGTCCACTTTCTGCTTTGGCTCATGCACCAGCAGGACACACTTGCTCGGAACAGTAATCACATCACATTCCTTTTTTAGAAGTTCTGTTGACAGAAAAGACCCTCAGTTGTAACAAGAATGAGCCATGTACTGCTCCATGACTGAGCTGCTTTGTCAGTACACTCACCTTGTTTATTGAGAGGGCGCTTCCTCACACAGACACAAATCCTATGCTGTTCTATCTAAAAGAAAAGAAAACAAGTAATAATTATTTCCCAATTACACTCACTGTTACAGAGAGAAAGTTCTGATGCTCCCTCACACCTACTTTTCTATATGTAGATCAGAGTTGCCTCTGCTTCTGATCAGACCCACTCACACAGGGATTTAAGTCTTGATGTCCATTCAGTGCAAAAGAAACACCAGAAACTGTTGCCCTTTACATAGCTCACTCCAACATACCAGGTGGAAATGCTGCTATGCTATAGAAAGTGCCCAATTATTCCGTATCAGAACTAGTAAAAAAGTTTAGTCCTTGGCCAGCTTTCTAGCAAAATCTGTGACATAAAGACAGCAACTGCAGTCAAATTCAGGTAAATTATTATTATTGTATTTTACCCCAGAGGTATTTTTTGACCCAAGTTCTTTAGTGATACAGTAAGTTTAGTTATTTGTGCAGCACAGCTACACACCAGTTGAGTTTGGGAAAGTGCATACTCCATTGGGTGAGGCAGAAAGCAGAAGACAACAAACTTCTGTCATGCAGTGGTATGTACAGAAACTGCTGGTTCTCAGCCCCTCGTAGGATGCAGGCACACAAATCACCTAGTGTTCTAGGCTAGCCCACATCTACTTGGTTGTTTGAACTTAAATGTTGTCATTTTCCACTGACTATAACAAGGCTTTTGCTAGACAAGGACTACTTGTTCTCAGGTATTATACAATGCTACCTCCACAATTGCTAAACTCATTGACCAAGATTGTGTCTTCTAGTTTTTGACCTCTACTTTTGCTCCTCTGCTTTTTGACCTAGTTTAAAGTTACTTAATATGTGACTTACATACAATATCACTTTCTGTTGTAGGGCAATAATCCATTTTAAATTATACCTATACCTACAACAAGCTAAGCTACTATGTAAGAGGCTCTGCCATTTACAAGCTCTGAAAAATACTGACGTTACCACACAAACCATTGCACAATTATTGTCAGTGTGCAAGGTCTCACTAGTGACATATGCAAAGTAAGGTAAGGCAGCTTAGACCTAAATAGGGGAGGTAAGATATATGACCTCACATATACCACCAGGTGCCTCAAGATCACAATATGCTCAGAGGATTTCCAAGGTGCACTGATGCACTAAATTGCTCATATACTAAGATCTTCAGCACAAAATAAATAAGTCTGTCTACAGGCTGCAGTTTGTAGCCTCAGTATTTACTTACTGGATCAGTTATAGAAATTGGCTGGCAGTCTAAAGTTGCTCTGAATTCCTTGATCATCCTTGCAAACTCCCAGTTTGGACAGCTGCTGTCAAATTCCTGCAAGGAAAAACCATGGATGTGAAGGTAATTAACCTGTTACAGCAAAAAAGCCCCAGAGCATACTAAACAATCAGCTGTATGCAATTAGAAATATTTCACAAGATTCAGAACTTTCTGAAACCAGAATAAATCCATCCTTACTTACAGATTCATAGGAACAAAGCCTGTCCACAATTATTTTAGTTTCAGTTACTGTGATACACTGCCCTATAGAATTTCCCCTTACTGGTGTATTGTAGAGTACTCCACCTGTGCACGTTTTGTCCTGATTTCACTAATTAGAGCTCTCTTTTCTTCTCTCTTGTTTTTCATTTTCTCCATCTCTTTCACAACATTAGATCTTCTCCGAACTAGATAAAAATAAAAAACATTTCCTTGGGTTAAATTTTCATACTAGGTTTTAAGCACAATACAAATATTTTGACTTTTCTAGGTTGCTGACAGACTATCTTGTACAGGGAACACTCATCTTCAGAAGGACGGTCATTAATTTTGCAGCACTTCCTTCCCAAACCAGACCTACCTACCATAGAAACTGCCTAGAAGTCACACTACCACTCTACAGTAAAGGTAGCATTTCTGAGGCAATACTGCTATAACAGAATTACACATTTGTAATAAAAATACTCAAGATATTCAGTCTTACTGCCAAAGCCACCTTTTCAAAGCTTTAGTCTTGGAACATAGAAAGCAGCAATCACATTAGTGATGCATTGCTGACTGGCAAGTCAGTTATTACCCACTGCTCCCTGGTACCTGGGCTCACTGAAGAACTCATTCTAGCAGCAGGCAGGTGATCCTCTGTATTTTCATTTACATTTGCCAATGAGGCTTCCGGAGCACAGCTCAGCCTGCTAGTCCTGGTTCGGACAGCTGCAGAAAGAACCCAGACCAAACCCAATAATTAGATCCAAAAGATCAAAAATAATTTTGTAATTTGTAAAGCCTCATATACCACAGGCATTCCTCCCTCAACTCTGATTCTGGATCAGGAGAGAGAACTACCTAAAACCTGTGGTAAGTACGCAAGTAATTTTTTAAATCCTTTGTCAATCACTAACTTATATTCAAAGCTACAAATCAAGGCCACACCAACTAGACAAGAATTTAGTATCAAGCCTCTTATTTCAAGGTCTTTGCAGAACTTACTACACAAGGTATGCCCTCAGCTCTTCGTAGGGTAGGTCTGGTAAAGATAAATAACTACAATCTCATAATTCAAGTAGGCTCAAGTTCTTGCTTTATTCAACCCATATAGGTAAAGCTACAACCAGTATAGTTACAGAGCGTGTTGTCAGCAATGTTGTCAGCAGTATTAAGCACTTCTCTTCCCTGTGAATACCACTCTGTGCTATTAAGCAGATACCACATCCACCCACACGCACAACCGCAGCTCCCTGGCTAATAAAGCACATCATTATTCAACCACACTGTTTCCTTTGAGAACCCCTTCAGGTAGGAGCTCTGATATTTACATGGTGGCAGACCTCTAGGTCTTTCTTGTTTTATATATGAAGGAGTAGAGGTTGCTCCTTCCTCCTGGGATTTGCTGTTTACCTAATTAAATGCATACAAAGCATCTTGCTTCATAGTAAGAATTCACTTACCAGGAACTGACAAATTGTTTCTGGGCTGTATAGATGGGCAGGAATCCTCTCCCATCTCATTTTCCTGGAGGGTGCACTGAGATTCTGTGATAACAGACATCCTGGAGCGGCCACGCACAGCTTTGGAAATACAATTCAAGGTCAGCATCATGCCTGAGACACTCAGGCATCTGCAAGTAATCAAGTGCTCACAAAGTGCAGAACACTGGGGAACAAGGCATGGTTAAAAGGACCTTCTCCAGATCTCTGATGCATTAGCAAAGTGCAGGACAAAGCAATGCAGGTGGGTGAAAAGTGATCATGAAATACACCACTGCAGAAAAGCAAACAGCTCATTCCAGATTTGCAGTTCCAGTGATTTTTTATTTTTTTTTTCAGATACTACTAAGGATTCACTAATATGGCAGTTCCAGAATCTCAGTACCTAGGAAGGAGGCAGTTGCAAGTCAGGGAACTGGGAAATCCTCTGAAGCTTCCCCCTTGCAGGGCTGTGGGAATTAACTGTTTGATGGTGACAGTAGTACTGCAATCTGGCAACTGGTCATGGGGTGCCCACCATCACAGCCCCCAGGCACAGGCAGTGTGCGTGGTGCACAGTGGAGTGGGAGCTCCATAACACTAAATTCAGCTAAAAGAGACCATACAATCACAACAGCAAAGCTTTGGAAAAGCTCCTTTTGTAGGCAGTCTCCATTGTCACATGCCAAGGTATTTCTTTCACTGAGACCAAGCTCATCACAAAGCTGCCTGGGGAAGCAGCTGGAACATACACCTCAATATTTGTAAAGGAAGCAAATCTGATATGAAAAAAAAAAAACCAGAAGTGTGATGTGCAAGCTAGAACTACCTCCACCTCTAGCAATCACAAGAATTTATCCAGAATTAATCACTATGCTTTTAAAGGACATTAGATTTGTTTCAGCTCAATGGTTAATTTCAATTCTGGATCAAATTCCTTAGAACTGTACCCACAAAATTCAGTGTTCACATCTGTGAAGTCTTTACCTGGAAACTTCTGCTCAGGTGCAGAGACATTAGGTGTCACTGCTGCAGCTTTAGGAACAAAAAGCATCAGCTTCATTATGCTCAGAAATGGCATTTTATTCCATTTGCTTTTGTCACACATGCCCAGACCTTATCTCATCACAAACTCAGCAGCACTTTTTCTGTAAATGCTAGTGCTCCTGGACAGCACACCACCTGTAGGATTTCCTGCATCTAAATGGATTTGATTCAATCAATTCTTCTACATGAGGATATTCAGCATCCTCCAAAGTTCTTATTGATTCGGAGGACTGAGGCAATATTTTTCTTAATTCTTTCTGAAATCACTGCTTCTGCTTCTCTCGTTTTCCTGAATGAGATGGAGACAGACACCTCCTCATCTTTTTTAATTTTTTTAGCCTAAGAACCAAAACCTGAAGGCAACGTTAGCTTTGTAATCAGTGCAGTGCAGAGTTTGCAACAAGACACATACTCACTGACACTCTTCAGGTTTAGCTAATTACAATATTTGAGTGATACTGAAAACACTGCTTCTCTCTGGTACTTTGAGCAGGTATTCAGAGACAAGACTGTGCCAGTAGGAAAGCCAACAGATAGTTCAGATTTGCCATTGGATTCTATACTTCAGGAAAGCTGTGACCTCTGCAAGGACATTTTTCCATCAGTCAGTGGCTGGATTAACACATCTTTATTTTTTCCAGCTGGCTATCCAGCTCCATTAACTGACCTGTCCAGAGACAGTCGTGACTTTACCATGTCATTTTGCTTGTCAGTTCACAAAATTTATGGAGAGTTCTCTGGATTTGAAGATCAGGATGCTCTAGTACAGAACAACTTTTGCCAAATTAAGCTTCTTGGACTACTCCTGCCTCTCCAGCGCAAGGGGATTTATACTGTTGTCTTCTGGAATCAGCTTCCCTGCCTTGAATCCATAAAACAGAAGAGGCCAGACAAGCCTGGATGTTTTGTTTACATCTCAATTGCGTGGAGAAGCACATGTTTTGGCTAACTATGCACTTTAAGGGCACCATTAAACTAGCAACCATTCAACCTCAACATCACACAAGTGTATTACAAATAGAAAGTGTATTACAAATAGATGTATAACACTGCCACTTGAAATTCAAAAAGCCAAAAGAGTCAGCTAATAAGCTAAAAGAAGGTAAAAAACATGGGAGTCGTCTAACTCCTGAAACCTCAGGAAAAAATTCCTGAGTAATTCCACACTCTGACATCTCTATCTTCTCTTCTGGCTTTGCTCAAAACATTGTACTGACGTACAATCACTGAGCTATGACACACCAGCTGGCACTTTGGCTGCCTGGTCTGAAATGTCTCCAAGAATAAAGCTCTAGTTATTGTCTAGGGAGACTGTTTGAAGAGGAGACATGCATTAGTCACTGCTATTTCTTTCTTGCCCTTTCCAGTCTCGTTTTGACACTTTTAATAACTGCCACTTACCTTTTGTTGTTTGTGCCATTTGCAAAACTCCATATGAAACTTTAAAACAGTACAACCGTTACTTTTATAACAGTAACTGCCTAGTGGTATTTAAAGCACTGTCAAGGAATAGCTACAGCAATGCTGCAGAAAAGGGCAACACATCAACAAACACCAGCTCGCAGAAGCAGGACAGCAACCTGTTAGCAAAGTTTCTGCACTCAGGAGTCCCAAACATTGGTATGAAACAGTATGCTCTTTATTGGCAGTGCCTGAATGAGCAGCATTATGATGCAGTAGAATATTATAGCTACAAGGAAAGACCATCACCCTTTCATAGGTTTATAGCAGAGAAAATGTTTTCTCACCTTCTCGTGGAGCAGGAATTTTTGAAAGGGTTGTTCTGCGCTTCTGTTTCTGAAAAACAACGAATGCTCTGAGTAACCAGAGTAAGCTGCAGACACCTGCCACAGCGCTTCAAGACATTGTACAACAAGAATTTCTGACCAAAGTCTAACTATGAGACAGAAAAGACAAATTAGACACCTCAAACTTTAAGACTGAGGGTATTATTGATAACAAGGTCTATGCTGTTGACACTTTAGTACCTTAGGAAAGACTAAATCACTTTAAAGCACTTACCTGTACAGTTACATTCTCTTGCAAAGGAAGGTTCTCTTTCACATCTGCAGCAGGTATTTCTTCTGATAACTCAGGATTTATTGTTATCACATCATCAATCTCAATCTACAATAGCAAAGGCAGCATTTTACAGAGTGAAATATTGCTGCTACCACTTACAGCTTTTTTTTTAACCTTGACTTTCAGTACAGGCAAACAAACCTGACCCACCACCTGCCATATGTTAAGTTAAAATTGCCCAGAAGGGCAAGACAGTCGTTCATATTCCATTTGAGTAGTCTCATACATCCAAATACACTAGAAGAAACATGCTAGTTAAGGCATTTATCCTCACCTGCCAAACACTGCACAACTCTGCAAGTGCCACAGAGCACTTCTGAAGAGATGGACAAAGCACATTTGGCATGAACTGCTTTAATCTCTTACTGCTAATCTTAATAAATCTCAGCTGCCCTGTAACTTCTGCACTAGGAGGACATTAAGTGCTTACTGTGTAATTATACTTACTGCAATAAACTTCAAAGAGCTGCTTAGACTTTGG